TCAATCAACTACAACCAACACCACTGATTTCCCAGCTGATTTGGGTAGTCTTGATATGAAGTCCATAGAAACATCATCCCACACTTTCTCTAGGATTGGTAGGGGTTGTAAGAGCCCGACAGGGTTTTAGGTGTTGTACTTGTTTTGCTGACAAACTTGGCAACGTGCTATGTGCTCATATATCATTCCTCTTCATACCCTTCCAGTAGTAATGTTGGGTGAGATGCTTGTAAGTATGTAATATCCCAGAGTGGTCCCCCAGAGTTGAGTCATGGAAAAGCTTGAGCAATTCCAAGTGATAGCCCGATCTTCTGGATATGACCAACCGCCCCTTATAAAACAGAGAGGTACCCACTACAGTATCCAGAATATTGTCCTGGGTCCACCGCCCACAGATCTCTAATGTGGATCAATTCTGGGTCTTCTTCGGCTTCGAAATTGAGGTTCTCTAGCAGTGGACACAGCATGCTGGAGACCCCCAAGGAGAAGATTTTTTCTTCTCGCGATAGTGTGTCCACTGCTGCATTAGACAGGCTCAGCTTGTGCTCAATTTTGAAATCATACCCAAGTATTTTAGAGGCCCACTGTTGCTGCTTGGGGCCCCAAACCCGCTGTTCAAGTAAGTGTTTGATCCTTCGATGGTCTGTCCAGACTGGGAAAGTGCTGCCCAGCAAGTATGCACACCATTTGTGTACTTGCTAACACAACGGCCATCAGTTCTTTCTCATAGGTGGACTTCAACTGTGCTTGAGAAGAAAGGGCCTTGCTAAAGAAGGTAAGAAGTTGACCCTGTTTCATTAGAACAGCCCCAAAGTCGTGGCCTGAAGCATCAGTTTCGACAATGAATTCCTTAGAGAAATCCAGTAAGGCTAATGTGGGTGGAGACGAAACAGCCTGGAAAGCTTGTTTGGCCTGAACATCCCATTCAAAAGAATTCTTCTTAAGTAGCCTGGTCAAGGGTGCTGCCAGTTCCCCATAACCTTTAATAAAACACCGGTAATAACCAGTTAAGCCCAGGAAATGATGCAAGTCCTGGCTTTTGGGCCGAGCCCACTTCATCATACACTCCACCTTCTCTGGGTCAGTCTGAACCGTCCTACCTGAAATGATGTGGCCCAAATATTGGACCTGGGTTTGCCCAAAAGAACACTCCCGCATCTTGGCAAATAATTGGTGCTGACATAGGATATCTAATGTTTTGCACTGATGCTCCATGTGAGAAGTCCAATCCAGGCTGTAAACTAAGATGTCATCGAAAAACACAAGTATAAACTCATACTACCCGTCTGCAACCCTGAAAGCAATCTTGTGAATGTCTGTCGAATGAACATCTGGTGGTACCCAGATTGCAGGTCCAGCTTCGAGAAAAAGCAGGCCTGACCTAATTCATCGAATAGCTCTTCAATTAGTGGGATTGGGAACCGATCCTTAACAGTGATTCAGTTCAGGGCCCAATAGTCAATGCAAAACCTCCATGAACTGTCCTTTTTTTACTAATAAAACTGGGGAAGAGTAGGCACTGCTGTTGGGTTGAATGAATCCCCTCTTTAGCAATTCCTAGACCATTTTTCAATTTCCCCCCTTTGGAAATATGGGTTCCTGTAGGACATAATGTTGGTTGGAGGGGCCCCAGGTAACATTTCAATTTGATGGTCATGGACTCAGGATGGAGGTAAGGAGGTGGGCTCTTAAATATATTTGAGTAGGTTTGTAAAACGCCATCTAGTTGGGCCTGATCATGGTTATTCATGGCAGTCCCCAGTAGTGAAGTCAAGTTGAGCCCACTAGTCATGAGGCACAGGTACATGAAGGTCGGGCTTCCCATATAGCTACTAGCCTTGGCCATGGACTTAAGAGAGTGCTCTACGAGGTCTTGGATATTGAACCCAACAATTCTGCCCGTGTCCTCCTATATTGAAGTCCATGGTGAGTTTCTTCCGATCGCAAAGTACTGGACCGAGTTGTTGGAGCCATTGTTCCCCCAACACTACATTGGCCCTAGCAAACTCCAGTGGAAACAAGTCTACCACAAAGGGATGCCCCTGGAGCTTTAGTCCCACCAATTTACAAATACTTTTCACACTGCAGACAGCCCCCCATTGGCTACATTAACATTGAAAGGACTGATTAGCTGAATATCCAGGCCCAATTGTTTGGAAAGTAGGGTTATGACGAAATTAAGGGAACTTACACTGTCAATTAGGACTGATATCCAACACCCTTCAATAGGTCCATGACCTGCATGGCATAGTTGTCAAGGCGATGCCTAGGCGACAAGGCGCCCTTTGCGGCTCGCCTTGCCAAATCACCAAGCAGTTTTGTACTATGTATTATAACATACTTTTTTATTCCTTATTTTTTGACATTATAATTATAAAATAGGCACTATTAAACTAAAATATTCATTTTGTGTTTATATACTAATTTATTTTTATTATTTTCTTGTTTGCTAGGGTTTAATCAATACAAACATTGCCAAATGCTGTATTGAATCCTCAAAGACTTTAAAACCTGAACCAATAAGGAAGAACTTATTTACTACTACTACTATAACAAAAATAAGGGTTCAGCCCCTATATTTTTTTTATTTTTCTTTTCCTTCTCATTAATATGCTGATTTTCTATACTTTAACATGAACTCTATACTTTTCTTATGAAAATTATGAATAATTATTATGGAAATATGGTTATGGTACCTCGGGAACTACCCTAAGATCTATGTTTTCTACATAGAAAAATCCATCGCCCAGCCGACTAGGTGACAAGGCGCCCCCTTGTCTCCTAGCCTCACCATGGCGCCTTGAGAACTATGCTGCATGGTTTGTGGGGAGCCAATTCCAGCTAAGTCTTAGAGTGATATGGAAAAGTATTCTGCCCCTTGGGCTTGAGTAGGTGGGCCATTTGCCCAAATGTCAACCAGCTCTGTTGGTTCCTCGTCCATGTCATCTACTTGGAGTAAATAAATGTGTTGGGCCATGCATTGGTGGCCCGGGACGAATTACTTGTCACAATTATAACAAAGGCCTTTTTCATGCCTTGCTTGCATTTCCATCCAGGTTAACCTCTTATAAGGCAGAGTGGGAGGCTCATTAGGCCCAACAGATTTGGTTACCACAGGGTCCGGTCTAGGGGGTGGTGTGTTGAGTATTGGGCCCAGTGGTCCATTGGGTTAGCTTATCTTATTTACTTAAATGAGACGCTCCTCTTAGAGCTTAGTGAGGCCAATGGTGATAGTCAATGAGTGGGGAAGCAGGGCCTTCACCTCCATCCTGATATCTTCTCTCAAGCCTCCTATGAAGCACCCAATGAGAACCTTCTCTAGCCATCCATTCACCTAGGTAGACAATTTTTCAAACTCAACTTGGTATTCCCAAATAGTCCCTATTTGCTCCACTCGTGATAGGGACTCATTCAAGTCCTCATAACCAGAGGGGCCAAACCTCACACACAAGGCCTATATGAAGCCAAGCCAAGTGATTTGGGCATGAGTTTTACAGTACCATTGATACCACATGATCGCCTCCCCATCCAAATGGATGGAAGCTATTGAGACCCTTTGGTTGGCCAATGTTTCATGGTATTCAAAAAACTTCTCAGCTCAATAGATCCAGGGAATAGGGTCCTCACCTATGTAAATCGGGAAATCTAGCTTGGGTGTCCGTCCGAAGATTCCATTCCCTTTCCTTGCACTTCCACCGACCAACAATGCTACAAATTCACCATCCTTGTTTGTCTGCCCTCCATAGACACCACCATAGCCAAATTTCATAAAGATTAATTTTGATGGGTGTAGTGTAGGCAACCCGGGTCCATCTAGCATAGCAGGCATTTCCAAAGATGAAAGAGGGTCCACCCTAGCATTATCCTAAGACCCTACAGGCCATGATAATTCAACAAGGGCAGAAGCAAAGGATAGTTAGACTGGCAAGATCCCTTGGGTTTGGCAATTTGATTGTTCAAGGTGATTCTAAAGTAATACTGGGCTGGCAGGAACAATAGCCTGTGTACATGGAAGTTTAGAATAATTACAAGGGAAGTAAAAAGCTTGTGGAAGAACATTATCAAGGGATTTCAGAGGGTGCCTAGAGCAGCCAACAACACGGCAGACACTTTAGCAATGCAGGGGGTGAACAGACAGCAGCTCTTTTAGATACAAATGGACGTGTTAATGTAACTATAAACCATTAAGAAAGTTTTTATGTGGTTCAGGCAGCATACATGGCCTGTGCTGGAGTACTCGGCATTGTTTTGTATATAGCCTTTCTTTTCTTACACTCAAATGCTCAATAAAATTTAATATGTTATCCATCAATACTCTCCACTATAAATTCTCCATATCTCACTTTCAAAACATCAGAACAGAACCTGCATCATAACCCTGATAACCCCCATACAATGACCTAAATCCACGCACAACTTTCTAATTGGAACTTCATCTGTCCTGTCATTAGATTCTGTAACTCTACCCTTTTGCTATCCCTGTTATACTGGATAACCATGATCTAGATATAAATTTTCAAAGAACAAAAGAAGATTACAAGGAAGTGTAACAGAAGTACAGAAAGAAAAAACTCAAAATCAGGGGCAACAAGAAAACCAGAAGCATCCAACACATCGGAGGCAGGGGGTGCCCAGAGCAGAGAAATAAAGAAAGAAACCAAAATACAACCTAAAATGCCAACCTAGCACCAATTGAATATAGGCAAGTACATACACAGAAAGGAGTAGAGGCCTCCATCAAGAGATAACTTACCAAGAATACCACACCATATCCACATCAAATAGAGGTATAACCAACACATGACACACTCATCAATTGAACATAAAAAATATCCCTGGAAAAGAGAAATCAACAGTCCCCACCAAAAGCAACAAGAGAACACTAGGCACTGATTTTCAGGAAGAAAAAGAAGAAACAGGCACTTTTTTATTAAACTTCTTGATGAAACACATTCACTCCAGAATAATAAGAATATAAATGAAGTATAAGGAAGACATACGTGTACTTTCGACATCCTTTACAAAACTTCAAGCTTCTCTCTCTTAATGATTCGGCATTTTCCTCCAGGCATTGAATCTGTTTCATCAAGGAAGATAAATCGGTAAACTAATGCTACTGAAACTACTTAAAACTCATAAATCCAAAAGGGGGATGGGGAATTATCATAGTCACAGCAGTGGGCAGATATATCACAATAAATGCAATTTTGACAATTCCTACAATACAAATACACCTCACCAAAAAGTAAAGAAGTGCTTATCAAATCCAACATTGATTTTTTATTTGACCACCTTGTCTTTTTTAAAGCAAAATAAGCCTTCATATGGCCCAAAAAAGAAGATATTTCTCAATGCAATTGTTATGTGATGATACAGCAGGGCAAATGACAAAACACAATATAAGACAAAAGATGGCAAGGTAACAAGTCTTGCTGCGTCTGCACTCTGCACTTATGCAGACTGCAGTGGCCCGAAGTCTGCTCATGCAGAGGATTTAAATCTCAGTTTCACATCACATTTTGACAAGGGTCAAAATGGGGGGAAATCCAAGGTTTTGGAAGGACTTTGTAATGAATCCAAAATTCCGGTGAAACTCTTTTTTTTTCTTTTGAGAAATGGTTAACTTTCATTGCAGAAAAAAAGGATGTACATAAGGGGATTTTTTTTAGAAAAGTTTAACCAAAATTCATTAAAATAAAAAAGAGTACATGAGAGGATGTACAAAGCAGGGGAGGACCCCAAAGATTACAAAGGAGGAATCCTATCACTATATAGATTTTCTAAGCAAGCACCAATTTAGCTAAGCCATTTGCAATAGGATTAAGTTCCCTCAGGATCCAAAACTGGTTTGCATTTCAACTGTCTAGGGAATCCCTTGCTTCTGCCAAATAATGGCTTAACCTCCAAGGACCCCCTTCCTTGTCCCTTAACCATTTGATGGTATTTGCTGAGTCCCCTGCGATGGAAAGGTTCTGAATACCCAGACTTTTAGCTATTCTGATTCCAGTGAGAGCAAACAACACTTCAGCCTTAGTTGAGTCAGTGAAACCGATGGTCCACTGTAAACCCAGCAAATGTTACCTCTTTCATCCCTTAAGATACCTCCAATTCCAGCTAACCCCGGATTGCCTGCAGCACCTCCATCAAAATGTAACATCATCCCTCCTTCACTGAGTAAAGCTGGATGTCTTAAGGAAGGCTGACCTGTTACCTCAATAATGATGGAAGGAGAAAGAGGCTCTTCTGTAGGAGTGGAAGCAACTTGCCCATGTCTGAATCTGTGCCTTTAGTACCACCTTTGGAGAACAGGATGAAGAGGAATTATAGGAGAATGAGGTGAAGGAGGAGGAGGAACAGGAATATTGGAGGTAGGTCTAGTGGGAGAAGGGACACCTCATGAGAGGACTCAAGAGGAATAGGAAGAGAAACAGCTGGAGACATAGCAAAGGGTTCTTCAGATTTCTCCCCCTCAGGAGAAATACTTAAGAAAGGAGTCAACTCAACAAATGTGACATCCTGAGATACAAAGCGGGTGCCACTAACTGGATCAAAACAGCAATATCCCTTCGGTGTGGAGGCATATCCCAGAAAAACACATTTACGAGCCTTAGGTTCAAATTTGTGCCTTTGATGGCTGTGAACATGCACATAGCAAGTGCACCCAAAAACACAGAGAGGAAGAGAAAATATCCTCATCCGGGAAGAGAAGGCTAAAGGGGGTTTTGAAGTTAAGAAACCGGGAGGGCATACGGTTGATCAAAAAGGTAGCAGTAAGAACACCATCTCCCCAAAATTTAATAGGAACATGGGATGCAAACAAGAGGGACTCCGTTCTGTTGTGGAGTGTAGGAACAAGAACTTTGATGAATAACCCAAAAAGTTTCAAGATAGGTGGAGAGGGTTTTCTCAAAATACTCCTTAGCATTATCAGAACGGAATATTTTGATCCGAGTGTTAAACTGGGTGAGGATGAGTTCATGAAAATTTTGCACAATAGCTGGTACTTCATCCCTGGATTTCATGAGATAAATCCAAGTGTAATGAGAGTAGTCATCAATAAAAATGATAAAGTACCTGTAACCCCCCATAGTTGGCAAATGATATGGCCCCACAAATCAGAGTGAACAATATGAAAAGGAGAAAGAGATATTTTATTGCTTACTGAATAAGAATATCTACAATGCTTTGCCAGTTCACACGACTCACAATGAAGACTCGATAAAGACACTCCCTTAAACATATCTGGAAACAAATGACTCAAAGCAGAAAAAGACAAATGACCAAACCGAAAGTGACATAACAAGATTTTGCCAATAGACTCTGACAAGACTAACTCTAAGGCAACTCCATGAGGTGGTCCCAAAGCTTGATCTGGTGTGTCCAGCAAGTATATTCCGTTCGCCTCATGGCCACTCCCAATCATCCCCTGAGATTGCAGGTCCTGAAAAACACAATGAATGGGAAAAAAGGTTATGCTACAATTCATGGATTTAGTTAAGCTGCTAACAGATAAAAGGTTTGTATTAAGTTTAGGGACATGAAGGACAGAGGATAAATAAAGGGTGTCAGAGGTCTTTATATCCCCTTTACCAAAAATGGGAGCAAGAGACCCATCAACAAGGGATATTTTCTCTTTACCAGAG